GCCTTGTGTGCCTCTAGCAGGCGGAGCAGCGGTCGCTCTTCTCCTGCAGGCCCGGGTTGCGGCGCAGCATGTCCTTGAGGGAGCCGTCCTGCTCCGTCAGCAGCTGGTTGATCTCGTTCTGCTTGTACTCGGTGGACAGCTTGTGGCCGTACAAGGAGCTCTTCCCCGAGGGGGGGTTGGCGTCCCGCTGCGCCCGGCGGGCCTTGTGTGCCTCTAGCAGGCGGAGCAGCGGTCGCTCTTCTCCTGCAGGCCCGGGTTGCGGCGCAGCATGTCCTTGAGGGAGCCGTCCTGCTCCGTCAGCAGCTGGTTGATCTCGTTCTGCTTGTACTCGGTGGACAGCTTGTGGCCGTACAAGGAGCTCTTCCCCGAGGGGGGGTTGGCGTCCCGCTGCGCCCGGCGGGCACAGGCCCGCACCACCAGGTACACCAGCTCCGCCATGTTGAGGATGATGCACACTCCCGAGGTGGCCAGCATGAAGACGGTGAAGATGGTCTTCTCGGTGGGCCGGGAAATGAAGCAGTCGACGGTGTTGGGGCAGGGGTAGGCGTCGCACTTGACCAGCCGGATCATCTGGTAGCCAGGGTAGATCATGTAGAAGATGTACATGAAGATGGCCTCGAAGAGCAGCCGGAACAGCACGCTGCAGATGTACGTCCACCACAGGGAGCCCGAGATGCGCATCTTGTGCTTCTTCACCTCCTCCAGGTGCTTGCTGTCCCCGTGCCCGGTCAGCACCAGCAGCTTCTTCTCCTGGTGCTGCTGGTAGGCCACGTGCATGGCCACCAAGAGGGCAGGCGTGGTGACCAGGATCAGCTGCAGGGCCCACAGGCGCACGTGGGAGATGGGGAAGAAGTGGTCGTAGCAGACACTGTTGCAGCCCGGCTGCTGCGTGTTGCAGGTGAAGGCAGATTTCTCGTCCCCCCAGACGCTCTCGGCAGCCACCACCAGCACCATGATGCGGAAGATGAAGATGACGGAGAGCCAGATGCGCCCGAAGGCAGTGGAGTGGCGGTTCACACCGCTCAGCACTGCGTAGAGGCCTGCCCAGTTCATCCTGCCTCACACCTGCAAGAGACAGCAGCAGGCCAGGTGAGTGCGAGCCCCCAGCCCTGGCCCTGGCGGAGGAGAGGAGGGCGACCGGAGGCCAGGAGTAGTCAGGGCTCCAGGGCTCACACTCACTGTACTTCTGCCTGAGCCCTTTTCTGTGTTGGTGCGGTGGCCACAGAGCCTGGGGGTCGACTGCTCTGACCATTAGGCCTGGGTGTCTGCGGGTGTCACCGCTCAAGCCACAGAGTGCGAGCCCCCAGCCCTGGCCCTGGCGGAGGAGAGGAGGGCGACCGGAGGCCAGGAGTAGTCAGGGCTCCAGGGCTCACACTCACTGTACTTCTGCCTGAGCCCTTTTCTGTGTTGGTGCGGTGGCCACAGAGCCTGGGGGTCGACTGCTCTGACCATTAGGCCTGGGTGTCTGCGGGTGTCACCGCTCAAGCCACATTGCAAAACAGAAGAGGAGAGACTGGAGAGGGTCCAGAGAAGAGCAACAAGGATGATGAAAGGTCCAGAGAACAGGAGCTAGGAGGGGAAGCTGCAAGAATCGGGCTTGTTTAGTTTGGAAAGGAGAAGATTGAGGGGGGACAGGATAGCCGTTTTCAGGTGTCTAAAAGGGTGTCACAAGGAGGAGGGAGAAAACTTGTTCATCTTGGCCTCCGATGATAGAACAAGAAGCAATGGGCTTAAACTGCAGCAAGGGAGGTTTAGGTTGGACATTAGGAAAAAGTTCCTAACTGTCAGGGTCATCAAACACTGGAATAAATAGCCCAGGGAGGTTGTGGAATCTCCATCTCTGGAGATATTTAAGAATAGGTTAGATAAATGTCTATCAGGGATGGTCTAGACCATGGGTCCCCAAACTGGGGGGCGTGAAGAAATTCCACGGGGGGGAGGTGAGGCGACCCAGCCCCCACCCCAGTCAATCCCACCCCAAGTTTTGCTGCTATTTGGGGGGGGGCGTGAGGGTTTCTCAAAAATCAAAAAGGGGAGAGATGCAGAAAAGTTTGGGAATCGCTGGTCTAGTCAGTACTGGGTCCTGCCATGGGGGCAGGGGACTGGACTCGACGACCTCTCGAGGTCCCTTCCAGTCCCAGTGTTCTAGGATTCTCGGGCACTTTCTCTCTGTGTCTAGCCCTCATGCTGGTAAGGAAAGGCAGTCGCTCTGAAAGCAGCGCCATGCTCTGTCAGAGTCTGCCGGCAGCCAGGAGCGCCAAGGAGCGTTGACTCTGAAACCTAACAATGTGCTGTTCATTCTCCATCCATTCACTCTCCTTGCTGATCCTTTTGCAGGCGCATCAGACTAATATTCTTATCTGCTCCGGGGGGGCCCTGATTTCAGCCTGCCCCCCAGTTGCAGTGTGGCCAAGTGGAGGAAGTAGGAACAGCACAGAATACCTAGTACTGAGCGGACTGGTCATTTGCATATTAATTGAGGTCCCTTCCAGCCCCGCCCCCCTCTGGGATTTGGAGCTGGCTGGAGGGCAGGGGTGGGCCGCTGGACCCCAGTGGGAGCGGGCAGGGCGCAGATTTCCCGGGCATGTGCTGCTCCCCCCATGAGAGGGAGGCACCGTCAGGGGCTTTGCGCAGAAGGCGCGAGGCGCACGAAGCGCTGCTGGGGCCACCAGGGTGCAGCAGGCACCGAATGCCCGTGGGGAGAGACGTGGGCTCCATGCCAAGAGCTGGGGGCACCAAGCGCAGGCCCTGGCCTGGGGCCAGTCTTCGCCCCCAGCCCCAGCCCTGGTTTGCTCTGCTGGAAAGCGGGGTCTGGGGGCCAGGCCGGCTTCGGACCC